TTAGTTAAAATAGTGCTAATCTTAGTTGATTGGTTATTCATACATTGTATTCTTTATGTATATATGTAATATGTTGACACGTATTAATCTGTTATAAAGTTAAAGATTAAGTTTGATACATGGAATTTAATATAAAAGTCATTGCACTATAATAACTTGATGTACATCTATATTGGATATTATGAAAGAGTATTCATAAAATATACCTAAGATACCAAGATCAAACTCATTGCTTATAGTTATTCAAGAGTTAAAAAAGGTCACTGAAAGTATTGAATATTGATCAGTTAATTTTTTTTTTTTTCTTTATTACATGACTCGTATGTCACTATTCCTTAAAATTGTGTAAAAGACATTGAATCTTTAAATAACTTGTCTTAAGAGTTTAAGAGATATTTAAGGAAGCATTCTATAAAATGTTGGAAAGTTTCAAGCTGGTTAAGAAGACCTCAAAGTATTAATGTTTATGAATTGTATGATTATGTCTTGAATTTAAGTTACCTTTGAAAGCAGAGAGGTGCAAGAAATATTGTGCTTGTAAACACAAGTTTTTATATAATGTAAGTGAAAGTTGAGCTTTGAAAATTTCCTTTTTCCAAGTTTTTAACTAGTGGTAACTGTAATATTGAATGTTTGCCTCAAAGCAGCTGCTCCTGTAAATACTAAATTCAGTCATCCCTGGCTATGAAATTATTAACATATATAAAGATATATATAAAAAGTATTATTTAAAAGCCAGACTCTTTCAGGAAAATGTACAGCTAAACAAGTCTATCTAGGAGTACAGATGGCATTCTAATTCCTAATTAGGCAGAATGTTGGCTTGTAATCAAGACCCTTTGTCAAGAAATTAGAGAGATGTATCTAATGTCTTGCAAAGAAATGTTACTGACAAGACCAGCAGATATTTGAAAGGAAACCCAAAACAGGAAAGTCTGGATGCTGATACAGACTGAACATGTGTTGGATAAACAACCTTGCTCAAGGTTTGCAGTGGATTGGATGTATTGATATCCTTGGACTGATGTGACAGCAGTGAACAAAAAAACCTGTTTTTCAAAGTATAACTCGGAGCTATTACCTAAAAGTGAGAATATTCTAGAAATTATCAAGATTTCTTGTTTACTAATGATAAGCTGGCTTCAATCACCCTTTAACTGGAGAGTATTAAAAGAGAGATAATCTGACATTACTAAAGCTTCCAAGTTCAGCAGCAGCTGTCTTTGTATACACGTAGGTTTGCCCAAAATTTTCTTTCCCATCATGGAACCAAAGCTCAGCTTCATTTTAATGTTGAAATGTTTTCCATTTATAACTGCTTGCTGGTAATCTATTATGTAGACATCATTTTATGCTGAAAAGTAATTTATAAACTTTGTACTATTTGTTACATACATCAGGCCTTTGTTTCAAATTCCTTGTACTTCATGTAAATCTCTTAGGGTTGGTAATGTGTCTTCTAAAACACCATCCTGCATTCCTATTTGTAATGAGTATTTGGTCTTCTCAGATTTACGTGTTACATTATGGAAGTACACAACTACTGTTTGTAGTTAGGCAATTACATACATTAATGTCATGTAAAACAATTTAGTGTTTCCACTGGTTAAATTGATTAATGTAACAAAATTAATTAAAATTACTTTTGAGTTTCTATTATGTTTGTTATTAATCACAAAAGTACAAATGATCTATTAGTGTTCCAGCCATTGTGAATATGGAAACCCAATTTTTAATATCAAAATT